AGGTGTCATGATCTCATTCCTGAACTGACAGGCTGGTTCAGAAAACATTTTCCATCTCCTCCTTGGCTTTCCTGACTAAAATGCAGCCCAGCCATCAATTTTTTCCAGACGCCCTGTGGTGCTGTGCTCTGTATACATAGCCAAGAGCCTTATGAATTGCACACACACTTCATAAATCCCAGCAGAAGATTTATGTGGGGTTTCAGTATCTCTCAAAACTTAAGTCTGCTGCCTTAGAAGAAAAGAACTCTGCAAAATGTAGGCAGCTTGCTTATGCTGTGTGCATTCTTTGTTTCTGGGTTCTCTGTTCTGTAATTTGGCAGCAAGCTATTTCCTGTTTGGTAATAACTTAGAGTATGTGACCACATATGAAAGAAGCCTAAGTACCAGATGGTCTACCCTGCCTCCCAGGCATCAAAACTCATCTTATTATATCATGACTGATTCCTAGGAAAAGGGAATTTGCCTCAGTAGAGGAAATCTGCTGAGTAGCCACATGTCACTTGATTTCTGTCTTCATATATCATTATTATACAAATGCCAGGCTTTAGAGGAGTAGCTTTCAGCTGCCCATGGCTACTTGCTGATATAAATTCCCTACAAGTACTGAATGGTACTAGAGAAACTCTGGGTGAAGGTACACATTAGACTTAGACTGGACTTACTCTAGAATATCAAGCAGAGTTAAAGGTAGACTGTACTGTGAGAAGTCTCATGTTAAGGGTTAATACCACTTCTTGTCTACACAGCTTTGACTTGCCAATAGAGGGCTGTTGAGGATACCTGGGCTCTATCCATGCTTTGGGAGGCTGCTGGGGGTGGGGAGTGGGGCAGTTGGAAATGGTACATCCTGGGATTCTGGAGGACTGCAAATTGCTCATTTTATCTTAATGGAGCAGACTGAAATTACCCTAACATGAGCTAGGACACGTGGCCCACAGTTAACCCTTACCTGAAGTGGCATAACTTTGAGACACTCCGAGAGTACTTTCCTTTAATATTTGAATGTTCACATCCTAAGTGCCCTTAGTATAGTTTAAGTGTAATGTATAACTTCACCCTCCCTCTTTAGAGAATGCTGAGGTCTCTGAGTAGAAAGCTAGATCTTGATCCTACTACCTGCATTTCTTCAAGGAGCTCAGCAATCCAGGCTTTCCTCTGGGGTTTTACCAAATATATAGAACGTTATTTCTTGGTTGTGGGCCAGATCTTTTAGTCCTGCTGAGGAAGTTGTTGGCTGGTGAGTCGGAAAGATTTGCAGAGTTAGGAGAAAACAATGCCAAGTCTGCTGCCATGTTGGGTGTCTTAATATTTGGATTCCACAAAAGAAAGAGCACCACTGTTTCTGGTTTCTCTTTGCAGAAATGCAGTTTCCAGTGAGAGTCTCTCTCTCTGCCTCCTCATCTACAATACCCACTGTTCTGGCTTAAAGTGTCATTTTGTATTCTGTAAATAATAAGGAAAAAATACAATGTTTAAGAACACACCACCTTCCTGAACCCGATAGTGAGTTGGTTCCATGTTTTGGAATAGGTCAGTGCCTGGGTTAGCAGCATGAATTTGGGACTTGAAAGTAACAGATCTGGAAAAAAACTAAGGGTTAATTCTTAGCAACAATTGTGCTCTTAGCTAGCTAATGAGGCACTCACTTCATTGTACCGAACGAGATAGAATTCTAATAATGTCATTTGCAGTTACAATTGCTGACTTTTCTGATTTTCTAATCTTCCATTCTCAGTTCTCTACTGTTTAGTTCTTTGAGTGAATCTTAACATTCAGATCACTTCAGTTTAAAAAGGTTAAAAATGGAATAAAGCAAAATTCATAGTTTTTAAAATGAGTCAGTTTGACAAATAGTAAGAAATTAAAATAATCATAGAGCCGTAGGAAAGTAGGGCTGAAAGGGACCTCTGGAGCACCTCTTATCCAGGGGTGGCTAACATGCAACAGGGGTGCCACAGGTGGTATGGCCTTTATGTGTGGCACACAGCAGATTGGGGAGGGGACAGGCAGCATGACAGCAGATAGAGCAGAAAGCAAAGCAGCAGCCTGATCAGGGAGCAGAAAAAACTGAGCAGCGGATCAGGTAAGGAAAATGGATTGGAGTGTCACTCAAGAAGGATGCAGGGCTAATTTGCTGCATGCCTGTCAAAAAGGTTGGCGCCCACTTATGTAATCCAGCCCCCTGTCTGAGGCAGGATCCTATGCAAATGGTCCCATGCAAATTCTTGTCTTACCTATTACTAAAATAATGCAGTCAATTCTAATATACAACCACAAGGCCTGCTATAGGTAAAGCTGGTCAGTGCCCTGCTGCTGCATGGATTGTTAAGTTATACTTGAGAGATCCAAGGAAGAGGGCCATCCCCTGCTCAGAGGAAGGCAAAACCCCCCACAGTCTGTACCAGTATGACCATGGGGTAAAATTTCTTCCTGATTCCAAATGTTGGGATTGGTCTGAGCCTGAGCAGAAGGGCAAGACTCTAGCCAGGAACCGCCACATTTTAGTCACAGCAGGTGCATTGGCACACCCCAGTCAAAATTCCCAGCCTTGGTTGCAGCCAACACCCAGTGCTTCTGAGGAAGGTGGGGGGCAAAAAAACAAAACCTGACACATTTAGCAACAAGAGAGGAAAAAAAATGGTCTCAGCCCCATGCGGCAACCAGCAAAGCCCAGAAGCATGGGAAATACCTATACAATTGCAAAGATTCCTAGATCATCCCTAATTTAATAATAAATATTCTATTCTGAAAAATTCACATTTTCATCATTCAGAAATACAGCAGCTGTGTGTGAAGTATCACAACGTTCCATAATCATCACAGAGCAAGGGAATACTGACTCTATAATGCACCTACATGAGCCATCTGCCCTCCCCATGGTCATCCCCCCCCCCTTCTCTACACAAATTACATTATAAGAAAGAGCTAGCCTGTGAATATACAAACTTTGGACTAGGCTTCTCAACTGTCTATGGCCAGGTGTCTGACCTGTCCAAAGATACTTTCTCTTTTATGCATCCAAAGATCCTCACTTTAGCTGTTTTAGTCTCAACATTTCACTGATTATCTATCTATGATGACCTCTCAGGCCCTTTCTGAGTCATTGCTTTCCAAGATGAGAATTCCCATACAGTATGTGTAAATTGTATTTTTTATTCCTAGAAATTAAAACACATTTATTATTATTATGACCATATAACTAGGTGAGTCATCACTATGTCAGAGTAAACTGTCTCCTTTTACTAGCCTACTAAACTTGTGTTATCTACAAAATTAATCAGCAAAGGTTTTATGTTACTATCTAGATCATTGCCAAAACACTAGTGTTGTATCAAGAACTGACTGCTGTGGGAGCCACTTATTGATATCTCCTGAATAACAATTTTTCTTTGAGACCTGTCACTAAGCTAGTTTTTATTCTATCCAATGTGTGGCAAGTTAAATCCATATAAAGTTGGCAGGGGTGTTAAATAAGGAAGTCTCAGGCATTTTTCCCAAATGCCTAGGAGAAATCAAAGTATACTCTATCAGAAAGAAGAACAATCCTATTCCAGAAAGATAACTAGTTTGTCTGACAAAACCTACTTTCTATGAAACTATGATGATAAGCCTTCATTATGGTTTTAACCTCTAATTCTTTGTTGATTGGGTCCCAAATGAACTGTTCCATTATTTTGCCTAGGACTGACATGAGGTTAATTGGTCTATGGACCCCTGGGTCATCACTTTACCATTTTTAAATATTGGAATTTTCCAAATTTCCCCAGATGTATTAATTTCTAACATAATAATTCAGAGAGTGCTCTATCTAGTTCCTTTTAAAATTACATTCTTTATATTAGCATTAATTTAAAAAGCTTAATATTAGCAGATGCTGTCTCTCTTTCCTCTTTTAAAAATAGTAAACATTTTAGTCTCAACATTTTCTGGAATAGGTACATCCTCCTGTGTTATTCTTTAAATGCATCCTCCTTAGTTATTGTAATTTGAAAGCCAAAAAACCCTTTACTCTGCCCCAGAGTTCAACAAACAGCACCCTTCATATAATAACTACTTTCTCCAAGTATTCCTAAATGCAATCTTAAGCTAACTGTAGGTTTATAAACCGCTTCCAATATGAAAGCTATATCTAGATGTTTGGTTTTATTGTTTTCCATTTTAATAAACAAAGAAAAATTAACATATTGTATTCCTGGGTCAACTGTGCTCCCTCTATTTAGTGAAAACAAAAGAAGTCACAGCCTATAATCCATTACTGACATGGGGTACTCTGGTCTAGCCAACATTTGCAGAAAGGTGCCAGAGTTTCACTGGTGTTACTGATCTAGTTGGTGTTTGCATAGGGGTAGTGAAATCCTAAATGCAGATTCTAGAGTAGTTATGTATCAGAATCTGCTTAAATTAGGTGCTGTGTGGTGCTGTTCTTATGGAAAACTTCATTTAAGCATTTTTAGCAGTATTTCAAGTTTTTGTACACAGGAGAGACTGTGAAAAAAAATGCTGGTTGAGAAGCTATTCTGCTGACTGGATGGCCAGATTGATTCTATGCAGAAATATTGCTTTTGCTATTGATTTTTTCTTTCAATGGTTGAATGAAGGATTATAAGATTTAATAAGGTGAGTGGCTGTGGCTATGAAGGCAGAAAACTGTAGTAAATAGTTTAGCTGGTCTTTTTTTAGTGGAAAAAGACACGTTTGGTAGGTTTTCATTTAATATTTTTACTACTTCGACTCAGGTATTTAAAGGAACACTCCCAAAAATTAATTCTTGTAACCCTGCTTCTCTGTACAATATTATGCAGCTGATCAGCTATTAAAATAAATCACAGTGGAACAAGATGGAAGACAAAAACCATCTTGCTTCTTAAATCTGGGTACCAAAACCATATCATGAATTGCATGTAGGTTGCTGCTTATAGGAATATTTTTATGGTAAATGTATGTATAATCATAAATATGACAACACTATACTAAACTTTGGCCATTTCCTTTAACAGGCTGGGAAAGAAGAGACATCTCTTGTAAATCCCAGCAAGACCTCCAGCCTGCAGGACCGTAATGTAAGGTCTGTTACTTCTTGTTTGTAGGGAAAGCAACAAATAAATATATTACATAGTAAATTTTCAAAGCATGATCTACAACATGCATGCCCTAACTCCATGTGTATTAATCTAAATTACTGAGTAGAATGTAGCCAGAAAAGAAAAAAATTAGCCTGAGTAGGTTGTATTTTCTCAGGGATCATATGTGTATGTCTAACTATAGATATTTAAAAAAATCATCATAAGTGATGCAGGGAAGAAACTTTGAATTGAAATTGATCATACAAGTCTTTCATAGACTTATAGAAAATTATGGTTGGAAGGGATCTCGAGGTCATTCAGTCCAACCATACAGGCAAAAATAGATGCATTTTGGTAGGAAATCTGTGCAAGAATCAGCCTCTAAGTAGTTTGCTAAAATTCAGGATAGCTTTGAAGTTACAATCTTGCTTTTTTATATTTTGAATTGATTTCCACTCTGATGCCTTTGATCAGTATACTGCATTTCCTAGTTCAATGAAATCTTCAGCAGCTGCTGCTTCATTGTTATATTTGTGGTACAGTAGAGCCTAAGAGCCCCAGGGCCTTATAAGACAGCACATTTACTCTGGTGAAACATACATTGGTTTTGTACACTGCTTAAAAATTGCACCAAGATCTGGAGCCGACAGATAGATATACAGCTATCTGAGGTGCTACATGCTGTATGCGCTTTTACAGTGCCCTGCTGCACAAGGAGAGGGGATTACGTAATAGCTTATATGCCTTGCTAAATGGCTATGCTGGGATTAGAATGAGACAGATGATACCCACACTGTTGTTTTACCCCTGTTTTCCTCAGGGCAATTGAAATAAGTTGCACCAAACCCTAGGGGCTCCTACAGATGTGCGGAGAGCCTGCTCTGACATGCTAGAAATCCAGCGCATCGGAGCACACTTGATTAATCGAGTCTGCCGGGGCACAGAAATTGATGCACTCCAGCAGCCTTCCACATCACATGTATCAGCGTCCCCATGCATCCCTGTGCTGAAAAAATGGCAGCAGAGTGCTTTGAAATAAAACAGGGTTGATGAGCTTTAGTTCAAAGTGCCCCGCCACGTTTTTTTCAGCGTGGAGACACTGATACGTGTGACGCACAGGCGCTTTTAATTAGCGCAGCTCGCTAATTAAAGTGCCTGACACCACATCCCATAGCACACATAAAAATGCCCTATGGTTCTATATGGTTGTGTCTGTTTCTCCTTTACACCAGGGTAAAGGTTGATTATGCAGTGAAAATATATTGTTTTTCCAGTCTCCCAGTCCCCTGACAGCACCTTGAGGGTATGGACAAAGGTACGTTTGCAACCCTTTTAAAACTGGGCACATTTCAAAAGGCAGCAGCTGTTAAACTGTAATGAGCCAAGGATGATACAAATGTAGCAAGGCTCTCCAACTTTAACATTGCTTATTCTAGTTGGAGCAGTTCTGCTATGCCTCAACTCATTCATACATGACAACTGGAGCAGACCAGCTGCTGCCCTTTCCCCTTTTGAAAGGGATCCAAATGCAGGTGTGTCCATACCCTGTTGTGCTAGATGCCATCCAAACACAGAATATGCTTCCGTTCCTTGTTTTTCTACTTCCTGGAGCTGAAAGAGAGGATTTGGTGCAGTGTGCAGAACTGGTTGATTTGCACTTTTTGGTATTCTGAATGGCTTACTCTGAAAAACAGTTTTGTTGTGCTGGCAGCTGATTATTTTGATAGGGACTCCTTTGGCAAGGACTTAATTGCAATCTAATAATTTTGTCTGAATCATAGAGGAGTTTGCATGATGGCATATCTGGGAACATTTTTACCTTTAAATGAAGGGTAGCAACATCCTTTGGTTCATCTGCAGTGTCAGAAAGTCACTCTGAGCGCAGTTGCAGCAGGGCACAAATTGATTTGATGTGTGATAATTAAGCAGGCTATATCAAACAGCTCATTATGGTAGCTCACCACAGTTTTTGATCACTGTACGGCAGCCTTCGCAGAGTGAGGGAGGAACACGTTACTTCTAAAAGCTCAGGGGTCTGCAATCAATAGTTCTATCAACTGCAAGTGCCTATCCTATTCTCTCTTGGACTCCCACTGCCTGGCCGGGATGCAAGCAAGGAAACATATAGAGAGTTTACCCTGTCTTTTCTTTTCTTCCCTTCTTGTAATACAACCAAGCACCAGCAGGAATAGGTGCTAAATAGGGAGGGAGCATACCAGGGTGGGAGGCACTTACCGGAGCTGTTTCAGGGTTTACCAGAAGGTAACAGAAAGCAGTCTGAGGACATGGCACCTACCTGCCAACTTCTGTTAATGATTCTGTGAGATAGTGAATCTGCACATGTGAATCTATAGTTATTTTCTGTTGAATCTGCTAATGCCACTGCATGTATACTTTGACTTTATATTTACAGTATAGTCTATGCCTGCTAGTCGGGCAGTCCAGTTTGAAAAATTGGAATGTTTCCAACATTTTTGTTTCAAGTGAGAACATGCACTGAAACTGTCCCTCTCTTTCAGATTCCCAGCTACTCCTATTTGGTGTATGACCTTTTCATCCTGGCTAGGGACCTACTTAATTCACAGCCAGACAAAGGCATTTTCACAGTTTGGTCACGGCACAAAGAACTGATTTCTCAGGCATTTCTTGGTAGCCCTGCCCCTCACTGCTGATTGGTGGAGAGGACCCAGGGGGAGGAGGGATGAGGGGCAACCACTATCTGAGCTGCTGGCTGTCCACCCAGCCACCCTACCAGCTGGCACCATCCCTTCCTGAACAGGCTGTGAGGCAGTGAGGACCACTGGGGAGCCACCATTATATTTTTATGAAGCTTTTTTTAAGTTGATTTTGTAGACAATTGTGGATTACGCAGCAGCTCCATAGGCTAAAGGCATGTGACCATTGCCTTGCTTTCCAGACAGTATTGTAGTCTTCTGATGCCCTTAGGTCTCTAACTTCTCCCAGATTTGCAAGCACCCATGCAGTTTGTCCCCACAGTAGCCTATGCCTTTATTTTTAGACTTCTGCTTAAGCTTCTCTCCACAACAACACAAAAGTTTCAGTTAGTGCAGAACATGATGACCAATTTGCTTAGGAGAAATGAGCTAGTGTGAGTGAGTACCTTATGCATTTGCTACATCTGCCATGTTGGCTTGCCATCTGCTTGTATGTATGCCCTCTAAATATCCCTGTGTTCATTTAAAAATTGAACCCAGTATCTGCCCAAATTATACTGGAATATTCACCTGTCTTTCTGCAGAAGAGTTGTGTCAGGGACAGTGACTTTGCGTATCTGATTTCTAAACTTATAACTAGAGCATGCATTAGTAAACTATCCTGATTGTCTGAACTCATGAGACTGGACAGTTGCTTTGCACGTGGTAATGTGGTAAAGGTGAACAGAGGCAGCTCTGATACCAAAGCATAGTTTTTTGTATGGCAGGGACCAGGGTGGGTGAGATGCAATAGAAAGTGCTATAATTGGTATAATTCACCGTGTGGTTTAGATGAAGGAACTGTCTCTTTTACAGTCATCTTGCTCACAACTTTGCCAGTCGGGAGATTGCATTGCTAATGAATTAACTACTTAGACATGGCCTGTATTCCCCTGAGCAATTATTTTAGCATCTGCCATAGCAAACTCAATTTGGTTAACAAATGCTATAGCTCTTTGTAAAATTAGTTCTGGTTCAAGAAGTAATTACTCGTGTATGTGCAATATTGCTGGTTTTTGCCGCAAGCTGGTCTCCAGCCATTTTGGACCTAGCCCCTTAATGGCATGTAATATCATCTTCTTATAAAGGAGCAACATATCTGCCTGTTTAGTCATCCATTTTCCATGTGTGTTGTGACTCTTTCTGCATTCAGTCATTTTAGGTATGGAAGAATTATAAGAAGTTGAAACTCCGGTTGCCGAGACCATTTTCAGAGTAGGGAAGTATCTAAACAATGTTTCATTGTACAGTCCACAGACATTTTAATATGTTTTAAATGCCTTCTGATGTTTCCATTATCAGTTGGGCTATCATCCTCCATAAAGATTTAAGTAGGAGGCTGGGAGGAGGCAGAAGGCAGATGAGCTCTTCCTTCTCTGCTAACAGCAGAAGGAGACTTCCCACTCTTCTCTCCAGTTTTGGAGAGCAATGCCACGGTTCCCTCTTCACAGGGGTGCACTTAGGACCTCCTCCTCCTTTCTTCAATCTGCTTTCAACACTGGCTCTTAGTGATTAGAACAGGTGTAGAAGAGGCTTAAATGGCAGGTTTAAGTAGGAGTTCTGCAATCCTTGTTGCCAAGGTATTTTGGGAGAAGAACAAATAACCTCATCTAACCTGGAGGGAGACCCCATATACACTTGCATGCATTAGGATAGTACCCCAGGTTCACTCACGCTCCATCTTTATGGTCAAGTTGAATTTCAAACACCACACACTCACGAGCACTGTAGGCAAGCATGCAAATGACTGATTAGATGAATGCACACTACTAACTGATTCCCAATCCCTGTTCCCTAGCATGATCTTCTTACAGCATGTGCATCATTTGGATTGAGGATGTCACTATTGCTGGAAACTGTTGTTTGGTGTTGGAGTGAACTGTGGAAGGGTGGGGATTTAAAACCTGTGTATGTGCCCTTTTGGAGGATTTTAGACTCCCCTCTTTTACAGTGCCCTGGTGCATTGTAAAACAATATTGCTATGTTGCCTAAAAGAAGATGTCTGTCTACTCGGCTCATTACACAGACTGTGTCAAATCAAGAGTACTGCTGGTTTGTGGTTGCCATTTTGAAGAGCATGGCACGCTGTGTTAAGGCTGAGAAAAATGTTTGTAAGAGACCTATCAGCATTTGGCTAGCTTTAGGTTTGCAAAGCTAAAGTCACTTTGTATATGTTTAGCCAAGTTTAGATGAAAATGTTTCTGTCCCTAGAATGACTGGAAAATAGTGTAGTAGATTCTCCTTCAGATCTGGAACCGGAGTGTTTGGGGGCTGCGACTGGTCAGATA